TGTTTCTTTAGAGGGTCGCTCTGCCATTGAACATTTGCTCCATACATTATTTTTTATTCTCTCTACTATTCTGATTAATATTGAGTCTTGCTTTGTTTCTATTTTCAGTCTATTTAGAGGAAGAACGCCCGTTTCTATCCAGTCTATTATTTTATCTTCAACTTTTTTTTCAGTTTTTCTTTTGTTTCATTATTGAACTCTAATCTTGACAAAGCATCTACGTGAGAGATGCCATCATCTTTATCGCCCCTCTTAAAATCCTTGACGTTGTGACTTTGGCAATTCTTTTTTCGGGTTACATATGAATTCCAACGGTTTGCAGTTCGATTTTAATAAGAATCTTTTCCTATCAAAAAAGTCTCGTGCCCTTTCCATGCTCCATACAATTGCTAGTGCTTCTTTTTCAATATTCGAGTAGTTAGTTTCTGCTGACATTAACCTTCTTCATGTGTACATGACTGGGTGTCCATCTTGTGATAGAATAACAGCAATCGCCTTTTCAACCGCGTCTGTGGTTAACGTTACTTCTTTTTGTGGATCAAAAACTTTTATTATTGGTTTATTTCTCAGTATTTTCTTTAGTGTTTCAAAAGCGATAGTTTACTTTTGTGTCAAGTTAAATTCATTTTTCTTTTTGCGTAATTTTCCAAATGGCTTTATTATGTCGCTGTATCTTGGTATGTATTTACTATAAAAATTTATTAGCCCCCAAAAAGGATTTTAATTCTTTTTTATCTGTTAAAGCAGCTATTTCTGTTATTTTCTTTGTTAGTCTATCATCGGGTGATATGCTTTCTTTTGATATTTGATATCCTAAATATGATATCTTCTTACAGTTAAAATTACATTTTTATTTGTTTATAGTCATGCTTGCCTTTTTTAATCTCACAAAAATTTGCTCTGTTTTATATTTCAATTTATCTTTACTTCTTGGCCCTACACATATATCATCCTGGTATATTATTATATTTTTTACTTTTCCTAATAAGACTTTTTCAAATGTTTTTTTAAAAAATATGGCCAAAAGTCTTTACCCCAAATGGTAGACAAGCCCATCTTAGTAAGCCTATAGGGGGTGTTTTCATGGTGATTTCCTTGAATTTCTCATAAATTTCTATTTGGTTGTATGTTGCATTGAGATCCATTTTTTTGCAAAGTGTTCCATTTTTGCTAACTCGCAGTTTCGATATTTGGTAAAGGAAAAGAGACTGAACTTATCTTGTGAGTTACTCCTATCTTGTAATCACCACATCATCCTTAAATATCCATTAGGTTTCTTTATCGCTATTATTGGTGACACCCACATACTACCACCTTGAGTTACTCTTTCTAGTATGCCTTGTTGTATCATTTTGTTTAATTTGGCTACCACCAAAAGTAGGATATGAATTGGAACTTTTCCTGACTCTATCTACAACTGTAATGGTAATTACTTAAAAACGTTTGTCGGTTTCAAAATTGCCTTGAAATGTACCCATTATTTTTATAGCCGTTCCATCAAATATTTGGCCATTTATCCTTATTTTTTCTCTACTTCTTTTTTGTGTATTCATTGTAAATATTTCAGCTTCTTCTTCGGAGTGGGGGGGTGTACCTTTTGTACTCTTTCTATTTTCTTTTCGAATTTGCATACATTCTGAAAATGGTCTCTTTTTTGCAATTTGAGCATATTTTTCCTAGAGCTGGACAATTGTGATTTTTCCGCAATATCTATCTTTAAATATGGATTTGGTCGTGTTCGTCCTGTACGTCTGGAATTCTTCTTTTGATTGATTAAATTCTCTAATCTACCCTAATTGTTGTAAAATTCGATGCTAGCTTCCAAACCCATGGTACTACTCTGTAGACATTCTAGTATTTTTCGCTTGTGGTTTTGGTTTCGTAAGCCTTCACTTATTGTGAAAAGAATCATTTTCAGAGCTCCCAACTTTTCAAATTCACAATACTTGGTTCGTTCTTTCAATCTATGTAAGTACTGTATAATGGACACATTGGGTGTTTGTCTTGTCTCTAAAAGCCTGATTCTTTCAGAAATGACCAATCTTTTCTTTGGTCTTATGTTCTTTTTCATCATTTTAATAATTTTTCTAATGTCATTTCTTCTAATTCGCTCGAGTAACACATTGTCGAAATTTTTTTCAAAGTTTCGCACTGAGCAGTAGCAAAAAATAAATCCGTTATCTCGTTCTCTCCTCCGTCGGTCTTTGTGTCTCTTAATTTTTTCATTCTTCCAAATGCAGAAAAAGGTCTTATCCATGTTTCTATGTTCTGGGTCCTTTATGGAATTTAACTATCCTATCAGCGACGCCATTGTTATTTTTTGGCATATCTCTCTTTGTAGTAGCAGTCGTAGCACAATTCTCCGCGTTACGTTTAGTTAACGGGTTTGCAGAACAAAGCCCTTATGTTCACCAGTTGTTCTCTATTTATACTTGTCTATCTAATTAGCAAACGATACTACACAACTTTTTATACATTTTTAAAACATTGCTGTGTTTTTCTTTATTTCTTCATTCTTCCTTTCTTATTTTCTTCTATGTTCGCATTTTTTCTTTTTTTTTATTCATTTTTCTTTATTTTTCCTTTAACGTGCCCTTCTTTCTTTCTTTCTTTCTTTCTTTCTTTAGTCGCTTGCATCTCCCATTTTGATCTTCGTTCATTTCCGTCTTTCTACGTGTTTCTCTTTTCTAGCTTCTTTTTTTTTTCTTTCTTTTTCGAGGCTATTCAAAATCTGTATATTATCTCGTATAATCTCGAATAACAATTCTCCCCATCCCACACTTCTTTTAATGACAGCAGCGCCTTCTGGCCGAAACAGCGCGTCTGAAGCCGCGATAAGCGACGTCAATTATCGTCTGAAGTTACAACTTTGCTGGTTTTTCTTTTTCCATACAAAGGGAAGTGACATCTTTTCTATTCACTCCGGTTCTGGGGGTATGAATTTTGACTAGAACATGATTAACAGATTTGTAACTATGACGATGTAGATTAAATACATTATTTATATTTCTTGCGATTCATGAGAAACTAAACCTAAAAATAAATATCAATATCTACACATATATTATTTTATGATATATATGTTGTAAATATCATTAACCATAATATTATATATATTTATTTTCAATACGGTGGACAATCCTTGAATTGCCTAAGAAAATGTGGCGTCAAATAAGTTATTGCAAATAATTTTAATATAAACATATACATTGCTATATTTCTCATAGAAATATTAAAAGTAATGGTAAAATTAGCCGTTTCTAACTAGTTGAATTGAATTCCTAGACACTCACATCAAAGTTGAACTGAATTTCTAAAACCCTGAATCGAAATTAGTTTGAATTTCTCAATACTTACTTTTAAGTCAATTAAATCATCAAGTCAAAGTTGAAATGAATTTCTCAGCTCACAGATCAAAGTCGAATGGAATGTCTAAGGCATATCAATTGAATTGATCAATGCTGAATTGAATTTTTAAAACTTCAGATAAAAATTTGAACTGAATTTCTAAAAGCTCACAGTCCAAAAGTAGAATTTCTCAGATTTCATATCAAAGTTGAATTGAATTTCTAAATCAGCATCAAAGTTGAAATGAGTTTCTCATTAAAGTTAACCTAACTCAAAGTTGAAGTCAAAGCTGAACTGAATTTCTAAACTAACATATCAGTTGAATTGAATTGCTAAGCTCTCAGATTAATGTCGAAGCTAGTATTTCAGGAGGCACGGTGGAGCAATAGATAGTGGTTCGGATTGAGGAATCGGAGAGCCGAGTTCGAATTCCAGTCAAATCCTTTACGTTCTCTGAAGTGCTAATATCTTAGCACGTTATGAATCCTTTTCTTCTCCCCATAGCAAGACAGACGTTGGATGGCAACTAAGAAGAAAGAAATGAATGGCAACCTACTGCGGGAAAAAAACTGCTTCGTATGGAAAGATACATGATCGCCTCAGCGTGTATGACACATAAGTGACTGATTTCAGGTAAATTGAATTACAAATTTCTCATATCAAAGTTGAATTGAACTTTTAAACATCAAATTTGAATTGTGTTTCTCATTAAAGTTATACTAAATCATCAGGTCAAAGTTGAACTGAATTTCTAAGTTCTCAGGTCAATGTTGAATTGAATTTCTAAAACCTCAGATCAGCATTAAATTATTCAAAAGCTTTCCCAAAGATGAAGATCAAACAACTTGAATAAAAATATACGCTAATTTATCATATTTACGGATCAGGAATATTTTTAGTACACTCAGGACATAGACGATCATGGTTCTCGCCATTTTCTTTTAAGTATAGAATTGCCTTAACCATTGCCTCATTCATGCTTTTGGAATTCATAACAGGAGACCTATGCAAGTAGAATACAGTCTACCCTACTATTTAATCCAAAATTAGAGTAAGACTATTACTGCACTTGAAAGAAACCTGAGCATAGTCGGTGCGTATAACGGTTGAAACGTCGAGCTAAAACTCATGAAAGATGAAGAAACTAACCTGAATGAATCGCTTCAGAATAATAAAACTGACGTCCTAGGAATTCAGACAAAACATATTGTTTCCTTGCGTTAATAATATACGATCCATCGTCTACGGATGGCATTGTTGACTCTCTTTTTTAAAGATGCGATTAGAAAAATACTGAGGGGAGAATAGGGAGACAGTGAGAAAGACAGAGATCGATAAATGCGGAGTGGGCATAAAGCTGAAAATTTTTCTGAAAGTAATCGGGTAAAAGAATTTCAGAAAAATTGAATATTCTATCACAGATATACCAGAAAAATATGAACAAAAAAAATTTTGATATAAGGAAAGATGAATTTCCTTAGGCGTTTTTGCAAGCGGACAAAAATTAAGCAGATGGCCGCCGATTATGGATGATGCTTTGTTGATGGAGAAAAATAAAAATAAAAAGAGAAATCATCAATATCTTTAATCTGCGAGGATCTGCGGATACACACGGACACTTGTAAGGGATCTAAGCTGATTTGGCTCTCAAACTATAATTCACAAACAAAGATTGAATTAGAGATGGATTTGGAGATAATAAAGACGAAGAGAGAGAAGGAAGAGAATTGAAAGAAAATGACAAACTGAAAGGACCCGAGAAGGAAGCAGAAAAAAATCATAGTGAGAGAAAATAGAGAGAGAAAGAGAAAGAAATGACAAATCGAAGAAGGAGAGAAGTAAAAAGACACAGTGAAAGAAAATAAAGAGAGAAAAAGATAAAGGCAGAATGACAAACCGAGAAAGTAAAAAGACACAGTGACACAAAATAGAGACAGACAGACAGACAGACAGTCAGAGAGAGAGAGAAAGAATGACAAATAAGGAAAGTGCTGAAGTAAAAAGACACAGTGAGACAAAATAGAGAGAGAGAGAGAGAGAGAGAGAGAGAGAGAGAGAAGGACAAATAAGGAAAGTGCTGAAGTAAAAAGACACGGTGAGACAAAATAGGGGAGATCAAGAAAAAGAATGACAGAATGACAAATCGAAAAAGAGGAGAAGTAAAAAAACACAGTGAGACAAAACAGAGAGATAAAAAGAACAAGAATGAGAAACTGAGCAAGACAAGAAGTAAAAAGACACGGTTAATGAAAATATAGAGAGGGAAAAAGTTTAATAGAATGACAAATCGAAAAAGAGGAGCAGTAAAAAGACACACTGAGAGAAAATAGAGTGAGAAAAAGAAAAAGAATGACAAATCGAGAAAAACGAGAAGTAAAAAGACACAGTAAAAGAAAAATAGAGAAAAAAATGACAGAATGGAAAATCGAGAAAGAGAAGCAAAATGTCACAGTGAAAAAAAATGGCGAGACAAAAAGTGACAGAATGATAAATCAAGAAAGAGAAGTAAAAAGACACAGTGAAAGAAAATAGAGAAAATAAAGAGTGACAAATAAGGAAAGTGGAGAAGTAATAAGACACAGTGAGACAGTATAGCAGTGATCAACAAATGTATGAAACAATGTCAAATCGTGAAAGAGAAGTAAAAGGACACAGAGAAAGAAAACAGAGACAGAAGTAGAAAACCACTGAGAAATTGAAAAAGAAAAGAAGTGAAAAGATACAAGTAAAAAGAGAGAGAGAGAGTAAAAGAAAAAGTTTGACAGAAGGATAAATCATGACAGAGGTGAAGTAAATAGAGAGATAAAAAGAAAAAGAATGATACTATGACAAATAGAGAAAAAGTAAAAGTAAAATGACACAGTTAGACAAAATAGATAGCGAAAAAGAAAAAAAAGGACAGAATTACAAATCGAGAAACAGGAAATGTATAACGACACATAGAAAGAAAATAGAGAGAAAAAGAAAAGGAGCGAGAAATATAGATAGAGTAGAAGTAAAAAGACACATAGAGAGAAAAAGAAAAATCTGAGAAATATAGATAGGGTAGAAGTAAAAAGACACATCGAGAGAAAAAGAAAAATCTGAGAAATATAGATAGGGTAGAAGTAAAAAGACACATAGAGAGAAAATAGAGAGAAAAAGGAAGAGACTGAGAAATATAGATAGGGTAGAAGTAAAAAGACACATAGAGAGAAAATAGAGAGAAAAAGGAAGAGACTGAGAAATATAGATAGGGTAGAAGTAAAAAGACATATTGAGAGAAAATAGAGAGAAAAAGAAAAAGACTGAGAAATATAGATGAAGGACACATCGAGAGAAAAGAAAAAGTGAGAAAATAGATATAGAGGTAAAAGACACATTGAGAGAAAATAGAGAGAAAAAGAAAAAGACTGAGAAATATAGATAGGGTAGAAGTAAAAAGACACATCGAGAGAAAAAGAAAAAGACTGAGAAATATAGATAGGGTAGAGGTAAAAAGACACATTGAGAGAAAATAGAGAGAAAAAGAAAAACACTGAGAAATATAGATAGGGTAGAGGTAAAAAGACACATTGAGAGAAAATATAGAAAAAAGAAAAACACTGAGAAATATAGATAGGGTAGAAGTAAAAAGACACATTGAGAGAAAATAGAGAGAAAAAGAAAAAGACTGAGAAATATAGATAGGGTAGAAGTAAAAAGACACATAGAGAGAAAATAGAGAGAGAAAAAGAAAAACCTTGTCAAATAAAGAAAGGAGAGAAGTAAAAGCACACATTGAGACAAAATAGAAACATGAAAAGAAAAACTATGATAAAATGCCAAATTGTAAAATGTTAGAAATAAAAAGACACAATGTGAGAAAGCAGAGCGAGAAAAATAAAAACAATGAAAAAAAAAGGGGTAAGATAAAATAAAAATACGGTCAGAGAAAATAGAGACAGAAAAAGAAAAAGACTTGCAGAATTGTAAATCGAAAAAAGGTGAAGTAAAAAGACACAATGAGAGAAAATAGAAAGAGAAACGTTATAGAATCTAAAATAAAGAAAGAGAAGTAAAAAGACACAGTGAGCAAAAATAGAGTGTGAAAAAGAATAAGTTTAAAGAAGAGAAATAAAAAGACACAACGAAACAAAATAGATCCAGGAATGACAATGACAACGTAAGAGGAGAAGTAAAAAGACACAGTGACAACAAATAGGGAAAGAAAAATGTTTGGCAGAATGACAAATCGAGAAAGAGGCGAAGTAAAATAACACAGCGAGAGAAAAATTTATAGAAAAAAGACTGGCAAAATAACAAATCGAGAAAGGTAAGTAAAAAGACACAATGAAGCAAAATAAAGAGAGAAAAAGAAAAAGACTAACAAATAAAGAAAGGGGAGAATTAAAAAGACACAGTGAGACAAAATAGAGAGAAAAATGTTTGACAATATGACAGTACGAGAGAAAGGAGAATAAAAACAAAGACATATTTAAATGAAATGGAGGGTGAAAGATAAAAATAAAAACACAACTCTAGAGTTAGAAGATTGAAAAAAGCCACAGATAAAAGAGAGATGGAAAAATCAGTGGCGGAATGATTAAGCGAGAGACGTGGATAGTGAAAAGGCAGTGAGATGAAAATAAAGATGGGAAGGAAAAAGGAATTACTGCGAAACACAGCGAGAAAAGAGAGAGAAAAAAACACCTTAACGGAAATAAAGAATGAAAGAGAAGAAGAATAACAAAAAGAAAGAGTGAGAGAAAAAGAGAAATATAATGTCACAGTGTAAGAAAAAAAAGACACAGTTGAAAAAGAGGCGGAAAGAGAAAAAAGAATCAGAGAATAACAGACCTAGAAAGAAAGGTAGAGAAAAAGAGAAAAGAGAAGAAAGAGGAGGAAAGAGAAAGACGATGACAGATTTGAAGAGAGAGGGAGAGAGCGACAGAAAGAGGGAGAGAGAGAAAGAGAGAGAGAAAGAGAGAGAGAAAGAGAGAGGGGGGTTGTTAACTATGTTTTTTTTTAATTTTTAAAAATATGCCTGCAGTTTCTTATAACGAAATCCAGAGCCTAAGAAGATAAAAAAGACGAATTATTTTACACAACCTATATTTACTTTTCAACATAATCACTTTTTTTTTGTCAATGCACTTAATCCAGATCTTCTTCGTTAATCATATAGAGCAAACATTAAAAGGAGCCTCACATCGTGTACTAATGTCTAGCAAGCTAATATGATTGAACTCTTCAGTGAGTTTGATCCTCACTCGGTGACCCATACTTGTGGCCTTGTGCCCAACCTAGGCTAACATTTTAATGGGGCGTCGGAGTGGGTCAGTACGTGCAGCCTTGTGCCAAAATATGCTAAGTTTTTTTTTCAATTTCTGGGATGACGAGTCATCATCATTTACACTATTTACATGAGGACTATTGTCCCCATCTTTGTTGTTTATATCCCAACGTTCGGCTGTTGTATCCTTCGGTCTTCCTCAGATGTATATAGATCCGCGCAACCTATAGGGAATTCTGAACTGAACTTTTTGTTTAATCTCCAGCCGAAAACGGCCATGGTTGATAAAGGCTTTGGTTTGTAGATTTGGTGACAGAGTGGTCGTGAGTTCAATCTCTGGGTCGGGCAGTGTGTACATGCACTTAGTGGAAACGGGCAAGCAATAACTGAAGAGAATGAAATAAAAATAAGAACAAGACGAAATATCCCTAGACATCGGAAGAGAAATGAGAAAAGTCTACCTTCGTAGTTTAAATAAGGAGCTCAATTCAGAATTCCTTGTAGTTTATCCAGGGCTATATACACCTGATGATGACCGGAGCGCGCAACAGTCGAAACGTTGTGATAACAACAACAATGATAGGGACAATAGTCTGAATATAAATAGTGTAAATAAGCTAAGTTTATTAAAGAATAATTTTGGTAACACTGGATAGGTTAAAAAAAGATAGGATAAGGTTAACGATCTAGACACGATCTTTTGTATGTCCGTGTATATTCAAGACAGAGAGGGCGGTGCTGCGCAAATCTTCCAGACGAAATTTATTCGCTAGAGAATTTTAGAATAATACTCAATTCTTCTTGCAAGAAATGTTTTAAGTTGTTGTTTTGTTGTTTTTGTTCTTCTGCAGAACATTGACAGTCATGGCTCTTCACAACTTCCTATCCTTTGTAGCTTTTAGTAATGACTTTTTACTATCCTTTCTACTCTCTGTTATCCCAACCTTGCACACATGCTCGTCTAGAATTTCTCTGTACTTTTTTTGCTTTCGATATGCCCTGTGAGTGTCAAATTCACCAAACCCTCTCAACTGTTTCTGATAGTAATTGTCCTTTTTTTTGTTTCCATTTTCCTTAAGACCTTTTCACTGCTTACGCACTCTCCATTCTCACTATCCTTCTGTAGGAAAAACATTTTTGTTGTTTCCAGTTCTCTATTCCTCTGGGATTGAGACTGTCCAGCATTGAAGAGCACTGATATTGCATAAATGTTCAGGCCTATTTTCTTTGTTTCTAAAGAAATTTTCATGATTCTTAATACCTTGCTGAGCTTTTGGAAGGCATTTTTTTTGTTTTAATAGTGCAACTTCAGATTTCCATTCTCTGTTAATAAGATTTACAATATAAAATCTAACTTCTTTCTGTTTATCCATGAATCTTAAGATCTGGGCCACGCTTTCTTCATTTCTCAGTTTCAAATACTTATTCATTTGCCGATGTAGATTTACAAGTTGTTCGCTTGTAATAATAATAATAATAATAATAATAAATTCGATTTCAGTTTTGTGTTTTATCGAAGGTGTGATTGAGTCAACAAAGATAAGCTTCGAAATTATCTTTTTTTCTTTATAATTATTTATCTTTTTCAATTTTCGTTTAGCGTTTTAACTTCATTCTGTTATGTTTTGAAAGGAAAAAATTAGGAATGTTTGTTTAATTCATTCAAATTTTCATTTTTTTCTCTTTCTTTTCGTTTTCTAGATTTTTCTTCTTTCTTCTTTCATATTGATTCCTGTTTCTTTTTTTTTCTTTCTTTTATTTTTTAAATTCCCTAATGCTTTCTATCTTCATTTTTTATTTTTATTTTGCATTTACCTTTTTTCCAAGTGGCTTCTTTTACGATCTCTTCTCTTCTGCTTTCTTTCTTTTATTTCCCTCTCTTTTTTTCTCTGCTCTTCTTTCTTTTCTTTCAATCTTTATTTATCTTTTTCTTTCTTCTTTTTCTTTGTTTCTTTCTTTCTTTCTTTCCCTAATTATTTTTTATTTCTTACCTTCTCTTTTTTTACTTTCTTTTTCTTTCTTTTCTTTTCATTATTTTTGTTTTATTTCTTTCATTTCCTCGTCTTTCTTTTTTACATTTTTATTTTCTTTCTTTTCTTTCAATCATTATTTATCTTTTTCTCCATTTCTGTCTTTATTTATTTATTTATTTATTTATCATTCTTTCGTTTTTTTTCTCTCAAGAAAGAATTATTTCTTTCTTTCTTGAGAGAAAGAAAGAAAGAAAATAAAAAGTAATGAAAAGGAAAGTTTCTTTGTTTCTTTCTTTTTTCTTTGTTTGTTTGTTTCTTAGATTACCCTTTCTTTTTCACTTTTATTTCTCCCGTCTTTTCCTTCTATCACTCTTTCTTTCTTTCTTTCTTTCTTTCTTTCTTTCTTTCTTTCTTCAACAATCCTTTTTTATCCTTACAATCCTTATTATTATTATTATTATTATTATTATTATTATTATTACAAGCGAACAACTTGTAAATCTACATCGCCAAATGAATAAGTATTTGAAACTGAGAAATGAAGAAAGCGTGGCACAGATCTTAAGATTCATGGATAAACAGAAAGAATCTCGGATCTTTCTTTCTTTCTTTCTTTTCTTTCTTTCTTTCTTTCTTTCTTTCTTTCTTCTCTTATTCCAAGCCTTTTATTTCTTCCTTTCTTTTGTTTCATTTACCTTCCCCTATCCTCAGCTTTTTTCTTTATTTTCTTTCACTGTTCTCAGCTTCTTTCTTTATTTCATTTTCCTTCTCCTATTCTAAGCTTCTTTCTTTCTTTCTTTCTTTCTTTCTGTCTGTCTTTATTTATCTTTCTTTCTATAGTTCTTTTCTTAATTATCTTTTTCCTTTCTGTCTTTCTTTCCACATTTATCTTTCTTTATTTCTTGGTCATTTATATTTCTTGCTCTCCTCATTTATCTTTCTTTCTTTCTTTCTTTCTTTCTTTCTTTCTTTCTTTCTTTCTTTCTTATTTATCCTTATTTGTCTTCTTCTTTTTGATAATTTAAACCTTTAAGAAATTTTTTCCATAACAGTCGCGAACATAGTAAACTTCGAAAAAACATTCCCCGAAACCCTTTAAATCGCTCCCTTCCGTAATTTCCTGGAAAACACAAAAATGATGACGGCAGAAATTCAAATCCGATCAATTTAAATGATATCTTACGCAACTGCCACGTCAAATCCATTTTTCATTTGCTCGCAACCACATCCACTGGACTCCATTTTCTTTCTAAACATTTCCTGCTTTCTTATATTCGTTTTATTGTTGTCACGCATATGAAGAATTAGTTTTTGTTTTTATTGACTGCCTTTCAGGTATTTCTCTTTGATTAAATGTATTTCCTTTCTCTTCTATATATTTTCCATTATTCTTTAGTTGAATACTAGCATAGTACCCGTCAAAATGAGGGGATTGTATTCATATGAATCGGGGCTTCATTGCAGTCAGCTGAGTGATAAAATGTCGTTCTCCTTAGTATCACTATCAAGTGACTCTCAGCCAACCATCTTTCTCTCTCTCTCTCTCTCTCTATGTATGTATATATATATATATATATATATATATATATATATATATATATATATATATATATATGATTGAAAATAAATAGACACAAAACAAATATATATATATATATATATATATATATATATATATATATATATATATATATAATATTAGTGGTAAAAATACACATACATATGCAATCATATATCTAAAATATATAAATATATATATACATACATGCACATACATATATATTTGTATAAAAATAATTCGAAGAGGATAGAATCCAGGTAGAACTCAATGTCCAGGACAGAGTAAGGATATAATAAAAAAGCTTAAATACTAATACTCCATGGGCATAATTTATTCCATATTCATCAGATTTAGTGAGAGTGTATGTATGAGAGTGTGGTCCCACACTCTCATACATACACTCTCAATAAATTATCGCAAAATATATACATACACTCTGACTATCCTATCGCAAAATATATTATTTTCTTTTTGAATTTGTAGGTCTGATGAATTGGATCGTATTTACGATTCCAATGGAATAGATTATGACCATGGAATATTAGTGTTTAAACCTTTTTATTATATATATATATATATATATATATATATATATATATATATATATAGCGATGTATATATTTTTTATATCAAGAACAAATATGTAGAAAGAAGTATGACAAAAAA